CCCCGCCCCAGGGAAAGGGGACTTCCTTCTTCCTTCTCCCCAAGCCATGTCTCCCCATTAGTCTTTATTTTCTCTCCTAATAGGCTGGGCTTATTCTATTTGAAAATGTTCTTTGTTTCAAACCCTTTCCCAAAGCCCTTGAGTACAAGGAGGGAGAGGAATGTTGTTGCCCAAGTGGGATGGACCACGAGGGGCCAGATCCTCTAGGGAAGAGGTGGAGGATACGTGAAGGTAGGAGTGGCTGGCTGTGTGAGGAAGGGGGAGCCTTCAGGCTGAGCCCCCAGCAAGAACAAAGGCACAGAGACGGAGTGAATATGGAGTGTGGGCACAGAAACAAGAAGTAAATTAAGTTAAATACAATGGCCCAGTTTCTGAAGGAAAGAGGGTCCAGAAATCCAGACTATAGGGCCGGCGGGAGAAGAAGGGCCTTTACAAGTTGTGGGGCCATTCCTTGAACTAAGCAACTTTTTGTCATCTTTTTTTTTCTCTCCAGAAATATTCCAGAAGCAGTGCTGATATTTGTTCCCTCCCGTTTTTGGCCAAGATCTGTCAGAAGATTAAATTGTATGTATACTATTTCTATCTCCCCAAGTATTGGCATGAGATGGCATCTTTGGTTGTCTCTGTTTTCCAGTGACTGAAATGATCGCCAGATGTTAAAAGCGTCTTCCTGAAGGGGAAAGTGTTTGCTGCTCATGACTTGTACAGAGACTAAAGGACAAATGAGCTCTGAACAAATCATTTCGGAAATACACTGCATAGTAGTTATCTTTGAACCTTAAGGCCTGACTTCTATCCTGGGCTGGGACCCGTGAATCTTCTGGGCAGCCTGGTGCACACCCGTGCTGCATGTGGGGACAGCCCCTCCTTGCTGTGTAAGACACAGTCAAGGCTGGCAACTCGTCATGGAAGGGACTCAACATCTTTAGTACAAGGCACTCATGAGGCTAGAAAGGGACCATTTTATCACAGGGTGCAGCCTATTACCTAAAGACTCTGACTCAGATGTGTCTGAACAGGGTTGCAAATACAGAGACAATGTCCCTGGGGCATCTAGGTAGCTCAGTAGGTTGAACATCCGACTTCGCCTCTGGTCATGATTTCACGGTCTGTGGGTTCAAGCCCCACGTCGGTCTCACTGCTGTCAGCACAGAGCCCGCTTCACGTCTTCTGTCCCCTCTCCCTCTGCTCTTCCCCCGCTTACGCTCTCTCTCTCAAAAATAAACATTTAAACAACAACAACAAAAACACTGTCCTGAATTCCCATGACCTCCTGTCTCCGTTTAAAATCCCATACCCCGGGGCGCCTGGGTGGCGCAGTCGGTTAAGCGTCCGACTTCAGCCAGGTCACGATCTCGCGGTCCCCGAGTTCGAGCCCCGCGTCAGGCTCTGGGCTGATGGCTCAGAGCCTGGAGCCTGTTTCCAATTCTGTGTCTCCCTCTCTCTCTGCCCCTCCCCCATTCATGCTCTGTCTCTCTCTGTCCCAAAAATAAATAAACGTTGAAAAAAAAAAAAAAAAAATTTAAAATCCCATACCCCAGCTCTACTCTGAGTCTGAGGTTGTGCTGGGTGTCATAGGAATCACTGTCCAGAACTTTAAAAGATGGAACGGTGTGCTAAGAGGGTCACATAGTACACAGACGTTGCTCTAGGTGCTGGACATGGAGCCTGCAAACATTTCAGTATCCAGTCCTCGCAATTCCATGAAGTAGAGATTGTTATTATTCCATTTCACAGTGAAGGACCCTGAGTCTTAAAGAGATAGCTTCTCTCGGCAGCCAGGTGTATCTGGTCCTGCCTGGCTCTCCTTGCGAGGGCTTGGAGATGAATTGGGCTGCACATCTGGACTGAGAGGCTACAGTAGTTTCTTAGGGTAGCTGTAATAATATACCTACAAAACTGGGTGGCTCAGAACAACAGAAATGTATCCTCTCTCAGTTCTCAAGGCTGGAAGTCTGAAAGCAAGGTGCTGGCGGGACTACTCTGAGACTCTGCTCCGTCTGAGATTGCCTCCAAGATACTGGGTCAGATCCTTCCTTGCCTCTTAGCTTCTTTTTTGGTAACTTTTTAAATGTTTGTTTATTCTTGAGAGAGAGACAGAGTGTGAGTGGGGGAGGAGCAGAGAGAGAAGAAGACACAGAATCTGAAGCAGGCTGAGCTGTCAGCACAGAGACCAACACGGGGCTCAAAGTTACGAAACGGTGAGATCATGACCTGAGCCAAAGTCGGATGCTTAATGGACTGAACCGTCCAGGTGCCCCAGTTTGCCTCTTAGCTTCCGGTAGAGCCGGCAATCCTTGGTGTTCCTTCGCTTGCATGTGCAACACTCAATCTCTGCCTCCAGCCTACATGGCCATCTCCCCTGTTTGTCCACCTTTTCCTTTTATAAGAACAGCAGTCATATTGGATCAGGGTCCAGCCTAATGGTGTCATCTTAACTCACAATATCTACAAAGACCCTATTTCCAAACAAAGGTCACATTCACAGGGACCCAGGGTTAGAATTTCAACATGACTCTTTGTGAACATTCAACCTGTAATAAGAGGCACTTTTCCTACATTTCTCCATCCTTCATCTCATGAGTTTCATGGCAGCTACATCCACTAAACATCTTCCCTCTGCTGTGAAAGTTCCCCAGGAGAGGACAAAACTATCTTCTGACCTATATTCAAAGCTTCTTGGAGATCCAAAGTTGAAAAACTTTTCCTGGTTCATCTGCCCACATGAGCTCCTGCAAGCCAGCTGTGCAAAGTGCTGGCCTGGGTCCCAGAAACAGTATCAACATGACTTTTCATGAATAGGGGTGGACACAGCACCAGGACGTGGGCAGTGGAGGGGAAATAGAAGACATGAAAGAAAATGCTGGAAGGCTGAGATGCAGCCAGCTCCCCAGGTCCCCAGTCATTTCATCATGCCTAGATCTTGCTGAATTGAGACACCTGTCCCCTTCTTGCTGAAGGCATCATTGCATTTTCTATGTCAAACGTGGGCCAGCAGGACCCAAAGTGACAACTCTTCAATTGAACCACCTTTGAAAAATTGAATTCAAGAGCATCTGTGGCCAGGGATTTTCCTGGCCCAATTTAAAAGGGAAAATTTTCTTTTATGAAAAAGCAAAAGCAGGGTGCATTTTCTTTCTAAAAATCATTGTGCTTTGAATATAATTTGCACCAGAACACAATTTATTCAGTGCTTTATGGTTTACAAAGCACATTTAAATGCAGCCTCATTTATTCTTCAAAACAACCTGTGGCTCAGTAATAACAATAACTGAAAGTTGGATAACCGGACAGTAAGGTCTGTGCACCAGGAACTCTTGTCAATGCAACTTTACAAGGCAGATGGCATTATTGTCCCCTATCTAAAGAGGTAAAGTCTTTTTCCCAAGGTCATGGAGCTAGTAATAAATAAATCTGACATTTGAATCGGCAGCCTGATTGCAAAGGCCATTCTCAGAGCCACCCAATTGTCTGTCCCTTGACTCTTAGCCCTACTTTTAGATGAGCAAGTAGGTTCTAGCACACTGAGTGTCTGAGCCACTAAGCACAGTGAGCAGGTGGTAGAGACAAGACCTACGTGTCTTCTACTAGATAATCCTTTGATAGAATCCCTTCCTGCAGGAATGCCTTCCTGTTCTGTGCCTCTCCCGCCCGCATCCCGTTTGGCCTAATGCCTGCCAAATGCAGTGAGGTATCTCCACCGTGGGAAGTTCTCCAGCTCTGCTACTAGACGTTGGGCTCGCCCTTAGTACCCTGAGCTCACCGGTGCCTGCTCCTGCATCAAGCTCTGGTACTGCAGCTTCCCATCAGGTTCCCACATACCCACAGCTCCTGGAGATCAGGGACACCATTCTCAGCAAAACTTTTATCCTTGAACTTACCACAGTGCTTTGCAATTAGTAGGGCATAAGTCAAGAAAAGACACTATTTTATTGTGTAAGATACCAGACTACTACCTACCACGGGGACAATCAAGTTTTTTGTTGTTTTTGTTTTGTTTTGTTCTGGTCAGCATTGACAGTGCCTACATACTATTTTTTATCGTGACAATGGCAAGTCAAGAGAGTCCCCTCTTAATAATCTCTTCTTTGTATTTAATTTCCATATGCATTAACCCGCCTATGGATCATTGCACGTAAACATGGACAGACTATCCTATCCTATGTTAATTCCCTGTAGTTCATCATTATTTTCCTTGCCGTTTTTAGTTGTTCCTTCTTCCCCACGACCTACTCCTTCCAACCATGTCAGTCCCCATCCCCACGACCAAGGTGAGCCATGGTGTATTCTTTCCTGGTTTTCTCTGCTCTCATTTCATCTTGCAGGGATGCGTGTAATGCAGCCACATGCATATGAAACAGACCCATTCCCAGCCCTGGAGTGCCGCCTGGGACTCAGTTGTGAGGCAGCTACATGTGGAAACTTTTTTTCTCCCTAGTTTGCTTTTGTTGTAATGCCCCAGTTTCATGAAATGCTTTTAGGGAGTTTGAACTTGAATAGCTACTCTATTATGTAATGAATAATATTCACCTGCAATTACAGTTGCTCACTGGATCAAGCCTGCTAGCTCAACAACTGGCAGTAATGAGCAATGGCTCTATTGGAAATATATTTTACATTCGTCCCCGAGTGGGTGATTAGCTGCTCCAGCCAACAAGACCATTGGGTAGAATATTGTGTCCCTGGAAATCTGAAAACCTGAAGAGGGTCCATGGATTGGATTTGAGATGGCTCCAGAAACTAAAATGTCATAAGAGCAGATGCCTGACTCCTATTTGCCCAGCCCTAGAAACTATCCTCGGAATAACTGTTACCACTGCACAAAATAACAAAAAGAGCTCATGTTTTGTGAGTGTTTACCACATCCTAGGCATGGATCTTCACGCTTCACATGGACCACTCACTTGGTCTTTACCACAGCTCTAGGAAGCAGACACGGATACTGGCCCCATTTTACAAATGAGAAAACACAGGTACAAAAGATGAAATGATCTGTCTAAGGTTATATAGCAAGTAGAGAGCAGACCTGGGATTCAAACCCAGAGAGTCTAATTTCAGAACCCAGAACTATGTTAAGAGGCTTCCTATGACTTTTCTTCTAGAACTCTATGTTGTACTACGTCTCTGCTAGAACATTCTTTACCCAATTACATGCTTTGAAAATGCTTTCTCATCCTTTAAATCTCAACTTAAGATCACTTCCTCCCTTGTATAGTATTAGAAGTGTTTTCCCTTTTGGTGCACAACACTTTATAGCATTTTCTCCATCATACTGTAGTTATCTATTGATGCATTGTTTACTGCTACCCATCATTAAGCTCTCCTGGAAATATATTCTCCCCTAATATCTAGTATCATGTCTGGTGCACAGCAGAGATTCCAAAAATGCCTGTGGGATGAATGAATGAATGAATGAATGTTCCAGCATACAACTAGACACCTGTAAGGATATATGAAGTATCAAATTTAGATACAGTTTTGCACAGGTAATGTTAGTGAGCGTCAAACAATGTCTTACCTAAAACCTTGGAGCCGGATGTGATCGGAAATTCAGAATTTTCCAGATTTTAAGAAAAGTGACATATGGTGCATATACCTTACGTCACCTAACACTCTCAGTACCTTCTGAGAAAACACATTTGTATTTCAGCAGTGAAATGTATAAATATTCACACTAAGTAGGGTAAAGCCTATGAATTGCCTTCTATCAGTTCAGATCAAGTTTTCCACCAATGAATTTTCTGCAAAGTTAAAAAAAAACTGTTTTCATAGCTGTTTGGATTGGAGACTATGAATAAGAGATTGTGGAGTTTATATAAATTGCAGTTTATGCTACTTTGAATGACCAATCAACCCCCTTGTGTCTAGAATGTATAGTTTTGAGGGGCACCTGGGTGACTCAGTCAGTTAAACGTCTGACTTCAGCTCAAGTCACATGGTCCCTGAGTTCAAGCCCCGTGTCGGGCTCTGTGCTGACAGATCAGAGCCTGGAGCCTGCTTTGGATTCTGTGTCTCCCTCTCTCTCTGCCCCTCCCCTACTCGGACTCTGTCTCTTTCTCTCAAAAATAAAATAAAAACATCAAAAAAAATTAGAAAGTATGGTTTTGGTTAGTTACTTTGAGCCTTTAAAATAAGCAGATGAAGTTTAATTTAATGAATTCACTTTCTAATTCTAGAGGCAACTCGTTGTTTCTTCAAACTCTCATCCTCAGGATGGCAAGGGAGGCAGACTGACTGTGACCTTTCACCCAACACCTTTCCCAGACTGAAAATATGACTGTTTGGGTCTATACCGTGTGTGTGTGTGTGTGTGTGTGTGTGTGTGTGTGTGTGTGTGTTTCCTTCTTTTCTCAACTAAAGACTACGATAGCTGTCCAAGAGGTACATGGGGGAAATATGTACATGGGGAAAAAGTACCTACAGAGGCCTACCACCTAGACTTCTGGTGGGACCACCATCCCAGAGTTAATAAGACAGGCTCTGTGATACCAATTAGTCTCCGTGCTGGCTCTTGCTGAATCCATTTGCCTTGAGGCTCTCACAACTGCTGATTCAAAAGACCATTTAACAAATCCTGTAAAGGATCATGTTGCTCTCTACATTCTAGGCTCTAAAAATAGCCTCAGCCTGCCATATGATGGCACTACCCTGCTACCCCATAAGAGAGGGAAAGCGGTGTTTGCCCTGCAGAAGCTGGGACAAGTTTGGTAGGGAAGACGCAGGGGGAGACCCTCACTTGGGAGGGGGCGTCTGTGGCTTTAGCATGAATTTGCTTGGTCATCAATCACATCAGAGTCTTTGGTTTTCCGGGCTCATGAATGGGAGTGAACGTTGCCAGCTAAAGCGCCTCAAGATTCTTAGAGTTAGTGGTTTAAAAGAGTAGAATTTTAAGAAAAGACTTCCATCACAGAATGTGTAAAATGGCACAAATTCAATCTGTAGCGCTGAGCTCATTGGACCAAAAATGCAGTCTCCTTCTTTTCTGGGCATCTCAACCTCAATATCCCGTGTTCTCCAAAATGTTGATTCAATTGTTTCATTTCCCCATATGGGCCAAATTAATATCAGAGAGAAAATAGTTCTAATTAGGTGGAGAACAGAGATTGGCAAACTTTGGCGGGCATTCTTCCATATCATGGAGGCACTTAATTTTATTTTTAGAATGGACTTCTATCACACATACTCAACATAGCCATATCTGAAATGTCTCTGTTTGTTTTCACAAACACGGTTTCTTTTTTTTCTTAGCTCACCAGCTGTTTTGTTTTCTTTTTTCTAGAGCTATAAAAAATTCTGTGCCATTCAAAGATGTAGATTCAGACAAATACAGTGTTTTTCCAGTAAGTATTGTTAAGAGTAACCAGATGTTCATTAAATATTGTACTGCTTTCTACAAATATCTTTCCTTTAATAAGACAAGACTGAATTCAATTTGAATGTATTAATTATTTGATAATGCACTATTTTATGATTGTCATGGATTTTTTTGTCATCTTAATAATACATGAACCATCAGAGTAGGTCTTAGGCTGAGACTGTTTTTTGTCTCCTGAAGCCATTCCCAGCTGGGTGTTTCAGTTATTTTGAAAGGTATTGAGAATTATTTGGGAAATTCTTAAGCCTACTTTTAGAGCATGCGTGTGTGTGTTTATGAGTGTGTACATGTTTGACTTCGAGCACATTGGATATCAGGATGTTCGCTGTGAAAGCAAACAAGCAAGTAACAGATGTAACTCCCCAAAGTTGGTGGGATTCTCAGATATGCTACTTGGGAATGGGGGAAACAAAAACATTGTTTGACATTATCATGACTCTTGATTCTTTCAAATCAAGGATCAAGGCAGGTCAATCACATAATAAATCCACACAATTAGCCAGTTTTGCTAGAGATTTTGAAATTGTCCAGTAAAACAATTCATCATTTGACCAAATAAAAAAAAATTGCTTTGGAGGCTAAGAAGATTGGTGATTAATAAAGTTCAGAGAGTTGGACGTTCCTGCTGTTTGTGGAAGTGGACACACACACACGAACACATGCATGTTCATATATACACATGTGTGTGCAGCATGCATCCACATAACCGCACCTGTGAGTACACACATGCCCACATACATACACATTCACACACTTACACTCCCATGCACTCATGTATGGCACACACCCAACAGCACATCCACACCCACTCACACACACACTACCTGGTATTAGCCCTGGTCACCTCACACAGCATGTCTTAGCATATTAATCTTCATTTTCTTAGTAATCTCTAGTGTTCCTAGACTGCATGCAAATTAAAAATTGCACATGTCAGTACCCCTCAGACAGCTCTGACTGTCCTTCCTCATGGATAATAACAGTGGAAATGACCCTTCCTGTGTGTGCTCTTCAATTTCAGACGCTGAGGGGCTATCACTGGCGAGGGAGGGATTGCAATGACAGCAACAAGATGGCATACCCGGGCAGGAGGTACGTCTCTGCTGGTCACTGATTTGGAAAATTACCTTCTATAAAGGAGGCCTGAGGCATAATCCCATCCCCAGCCTAGGGGATTTGTATTTACAGAGACAAGGGACCTCCCTGTCCCTACTGAAGTAAAGCTCGGTGAGGAAAGAACAGCATTCGTTCATCATCTGTCCAGGAAATGCTCATCGGGCACCTGCTAATTGTCAACACTCTGCCTCATGTTGGGCAGTAAACAAAATGGCAGAAGGGCCTCCTCTCACGGAGCTTACCGTCTAGTGGGAGAGAGAAGCAAGGCAGCAGGCTATGGTGGACATGTGTCTGGCCTTCTGCACAACTTCTGCATGCAGGACTGAGCCCAGAAACAGCAGCCTCTCCCCCTAGGAGTGAGGACAGAGGTCCTGTGAATGGCGCACATGTCACATTTTAGTCCCAGGTTGATGTTCAAAAACTGGATATGCCAAAAAAAGGGGGGGGGGCGGGGATATGCCAATCTTCATTTTAGCTGTGATTACAGAGCCAAAGCATTCAATTTACCAGATGTGTGGGATTTTAGAGGCATCACTGTAATGGCTTCGCCTATGTAAATAAGGCGGACGGCAGATTCATTCACTCTGCCCATCAGCACTGTTCCACAACAACACGGTCCATGAATATAGGCCGTTGTTAAAAGGCTGGATTTGGTCCAGGGTGCCCAGAAAATATCCAAAATCAAGATCATGGCAACAAGGCCAAGTGGAGGCTTCTGTGTGCCACTGACAATAATGTGTGTCACTCCTCTTTGAAGAACCTGTTGTCTATCGGTGACACTTCATTGAGCACTCATTCACTCATTCATTCATTCATTCATTCATTCATTCATTCAGCTAACATTCGCAGAGCAACAAGTATATGCTGAAAACCAATTTTGATGTTTTCCTCTTAGACCAGATAACTGGGATGTACATGAGGATTCAAACTGTAATGGCATTTGGGTAAGCAACTAAATTCAAATTTAACCCTGTTCTCTTGCTTTCTGCCCTCCTTAAAAACCTATTGGCTTTAGTCAGACCTAAAGAAGGAGGTGACAGACAAAAGCAAATCTTTTTCTGCAACTTGAAAGAGGAGGATAGACTCCAATCGCACATGATGTCAGTGATGGGATGAGAGTTGAGGGTCTCTCAGTCAAAGCCCCGTTAAGCTTGTCTAAGATCACCCACCGCTAACCCCTTTATTCTGTGTTCAGTCATAGGACATTAAATAAAGAACGCTGTTACCAAATGGCGACCCAGCTATTGGAGCAAACCTCTTGCTGCCACCACGCCATCCAGCCATTTCTTTTCTGTCTCATGAACCTAGCCAGGCAGGGTGGAAACTCCCCAGTAGTTACCCCACTACCCACCTCTTGAGGCATCTAATGCTGGTGCCCCAATTCTCTATGAATATCAGATTTTCAGCTTTCAGGCAGAAAGAGGGAAGAAAGGAGGAAGGCCAAGCACTTACCTGAAAACAACAATGGCAGCAGCCCCACGTTTTGTGAGGTCTTGAGCTAATATAGGATTTGAGAGTCCTCATGAAGGAAAAGAATACCAAAATACAAAATCAAGTATGAAAATACATAATTAATTAGAACAATAGAAGAAATCCCAACCAAGTACTGGAGTCTTGGAAATTCAGGTCCCTTGGAAATGGTAGGATGTGCAGCAGCATCCCTGGCCTCTACCCACTAGATGCCAGTCACTCCCCCTCCCCCTGTTGTGACATGTCTCTAGACATTGCCAAATGTCCATGGGGGGTGGGAGTGGGGAGGGATCCAGCCCTGGCGAGAATCGCTGCTCTGGAAGCATCAGTCCTTAGGAAGTGGAGATGTCAGGACACTTAGAGGTCCAGCTCAGAGACTGCAGAATACACACTGACCTGTGGCCCCATCACCCGGTGGGTCCACAGCGCCCCCTCGCGGTCACACTGCAGCACTCCAGATGCTGCCCTGAATCTGCTAGTCCCGCTTCTGGATCCCTCCTCATTCCTGCCCCAGCTCCTTAAAGCCCACCTCATTTACACAGTGTTGCTACGTTGAATTAAGGGCTCAAAAGACATTAATGGGTTTTATCCACCGATTTGCCTTTGTACTTTTTAAAGCCATTAGGGAAGGCCTCAGTGTATGCGTCTCATAAATCTTAAAACAAAGAGCTAATCTCATCATTTCTCTTTTAAAGGGTGTTGATCCAAAAGATGGAATTCCATATGAGAAGAAGTTCTGTGAAGGTATGAACTGTAAATTCGTGTGATTATTACAACAGGACACTTTTCTAGACTGAGTCAGATTGAAGGGAGCAGACCACCCAAAGTGAGGAAATGCCTGATGCTACAATTTAAAGTTGACCATTTGACCTTTATTTTCATGAAAAAATCAGAAAAAGACATGAACAAGATTGCATAAAATGGAGACAGGAGAAAATGGATCTAGAAAAAGCAAAACTGAATTTGTTTAACTGACTCCTTTATGTGGGGATTGGAAACCATAACGATCAGGCCAGAAAGGGCTGTAGGATAGAGTACAAGGTAACTGAAATCTAGCACTTCTCCAAATAAGAAAACAAATAGAGGTGATCATTTCTCATATTCTTCATGTCCTTCTCAGTAGACTACAAGGTCAGACATCCAGGCTTATACTGACTGAGTCCCTGTGTCAACTGGGCTAAAGATTCATATCTGGGTGACTTGAGGGAGACCTCCAAGTTACAGCCATTGAGAGTTCCCAAAGATAGCTGAGCAAAAGCTCTGCATTCTAAAGCCCAAATTCCCCAGACATCTGAGCTACCAGTACTGTTAGGAGAAACCTATAATCACCGACACACTACTGAAAATATGCTCCTGGTGATACCTAAAGTATCTCAAACAATACCCTCTGGTAGCACCACTTTTTATGTTTATGCAATGCTTTTCCATAAAACTTAAAAGCATTTCAATCATTTGTTCATTCACTCACTCACTCACTCATTCACTCATTCATTCATTCATTCATTCATCCAACATATATTTCCTGAATACCTATTCCTATTCTGCACCAAGGCTATACTATACTTGGCTCTGAGTTTTCCTGGGCAAATGTGATACAGTCCTTGCCCTCAATCAACTTAGTCTAATTGTCTTTAAAATCTCAGAGGGGTAGAAAGGGAATAGAAAATATAAAGATTCAGTGCATAGTTTGCAGTTTAGAAATGTTTATTGGATGAATAAACAATGAATGAACAAATGACTAATAAATAAATAAACAAACTCAGATCTAAGTGAACGATCTTCATGTGAGGCTCTGGGATCACTGTGGGAAGCCTCTTGGACACCCCACATCCCAAGCCCTCCTGAATGTCCTGGACCTTCTCAGTCCAGGTGCTCAGTCACTCAGCATTCAGTCCGAGAACTAATTGTCACCGATGCCCAAGGTAAGGAGCCACTGAAATGAGGCTAGACAGTCCTCCAGCATGATTTGGGGGATTTGGAGCTAGGGGAGAGAGGCGTCCCTGACTCTGGGAGGCATCAGTTGATTCTTTCAGCATCTTAAGGGATTTAAAAGAGTACATGCATCACCCACGGGTAAATTGATTGTGTAGATGGGCCTCAGAAGCAGATTCAGTGATTCCTAACCTCCAAATAGGCCTGCGCAGGTACCTTTTTATGTTCATCTCCCATGAATCAGCCAGGATTGTCCATCCAGTGCTGTTGTGTACATGGATTAAGGGCTTTAAAAGACCATAACATTTTTGAAGAATCAAAATTGCTCCATGATAAGAGGAATTCTTCAAATGAATTATAACAGAATTCAAGAGAGCAATTTCCAAAACTAAAATTTAGGGTGTATTTCTGAGTTCAGATAAAGTTTTGATTTATTTATTCATCCATCCTTCACTCGTGATGTTGCACGGCAGTTTGTTTTATGCTGAGCTAGGAAACACACCTGCATCTGTACAGCTTAGCTAGCAGTTCTGATGGCCTAGAAATCTCATTCAGCTCCAAAATGCGATCTCCCTCACTCCCTAACACTTGAAAAGCGGCAATGCATCACTGTTATGATGCTCTGTGCATGAAATACACACCAGGGTATCTAGTCTCCTAACCACCCAATCTGGAGGCTCAAACTACTCGAGTGCATAAATAATGCAAATAAATTGTCCCACCCAGGTTCACAGCCCAGGGGAATCATTTTGCTAGGAGACTCAGCAGGGGCTCATTTCCACATCTCTCCCGAATGGATCACAGCTTCACAGATGTCTTTGGTAAGTAATTTTGGCAGTAATCATCCCGGATGTGCTGGCCTTTGTGTTTGCTCCCCCCTGCTTTCTGTAAATGGGATGCCAACTCCAAACAGGTGCAAATTTCCCTCCTCAGCAAAATCTGCTATAAAAGGCACATCCACAGCCATTTCAGCTCAGTTCATTTCAAACAATGTGATAAGAAATGTGAGGGCATTGTCACCACAGGTTCATAACAAGAACTATCCTGTCCATTAGAGAAGGGGGATGATGCCCCGCCAGGTGGAAAGGAAACTTCGGCACAATGGGGAAGCCCTTGTCATATGGCCATCTCTGGGCATGGTTCCCTTTTTCCTCTCCTGGAACCCCGAAACTCTGATTCAGAGAAATTAAATTACAGGAATTATAAATTCTTTCTTGACCTCTTCTTCTCAGAAGAAGCCCTCCCTTTGTAAAGATGAGCAGACAGGGAAACATCTGGACATATAAAAAAAATGCTCCTGATCTCAAAATAAGAGTGCTCTTTTGAAAAAAAAAAAAGCTTGCTATAGGAGAGTGACATTTTGTAAAATATTAAATTCAGATTCTCAACAATAGTCAAGAGAAGATTGTACACATGAAAAAGGAGCAATTTGAGATCAGGAAAGACTACTTTTGGGAGAAAGAACAGTAATTACCTGATGTGAGAATCCAGTGGTAACACTGACTAGCAAGTTGGACAATGCAAAAAGTAAGATAGGCAAACCAGTCCACCGGCTGGGCAAATTCTGGAACTCAGAAAAGAGGCATGCAGGATGGGTTCTGGAGATCGAATAGGAACCCCAAAAAAGAGAACACATCAGCCAGAGAGGAAGTGGTGACAAAATAAATAATAAAAGATAACTTTCCTGAGTTGAGAGAATCCTTGTCTTCAATCCCAAACCTGCACTGAGCACCAGGCCAAAGTACCAAATAGACCATCTCTTTACCATGTCTTGTTTTTTCTTTTTTAATTCCAAATATAAACATCTTGTGATCATTCTGCCCCAAAACAACAACAACAAACAGGGTACACAGTAGGAGGAAAAATCCTTTTGGCATCAGACTTACCTCTCAATTCTAAGCTTCAGAAAATAGTGGAGTGGTTTCTATGATGTTTTGAGGATTGTGTGTGAAAAAGGCCCTAACTGCCAAGATATTGTTTGTTCTTACATGAGGGCCACAGAAATTTATTCTCAGCTTTTCAAAGATTCAGAAAACAACAGACATATGCCCTTCTGAAAAAACAAATTATTTTAAGAAGTATTCCAGATTACCATTCCAGATATTACTAGATTTCATTATATAACATTTTCAAATGTATGCAATGTCAAAAAATCCATAAAATTAAAAGACGAATGAAAAACTAGGACAAATTTATAAAATATAAGGCAACATTTAAATCCCCTAATAACAAACAGTTCCTGCATGGAAATAATAAATTTTGTTTTTTAATAATCAAGAATATAACCACTAAATAGAAAAATAATTTCAATGGAGTATTACTCGGCAATCAAAAAGAATGAAATCTTGCCATTTACAAGTATGTGGATGGAACTAGAAGGTATTATGCTAAGTGAAATTAGTCAGAGAAAGACAAATATCATTTGACTTCACTCATATGAGGAATTTAAGATACAGAACAGATGAACATAAGGGAAGGGAAGCAAAAATAATATAAAAACAGGGAGGGGGACGAAATATAAGAGACTCTTAAATGTGGAGAACAAACAGAGGGTTGCTGGAGGGCTTATGGGAAGAGGGATGGGCTAAATGGGTAAGGGGCATTAAGAAATCTACTGAAATCATTTTTGCACTATATGCTAACTAACTTGGATGTAAATAAATAAATAAATAAACAAACATCCATGCAAAAAAAAAAAAAGAAAAATAGTTTCATCTTTAAAAATAACAAAAGAAAGACAAATTAAAACAGCAATGGAATATCATTTATCATCTGTTAAACAGATAAAGATTAAAAAATGATAAAGGACTAGTTTCACCAAAAATATAGTGAAATGGAGATGTTCATTCACCAACAGTGTTTATGTTGCTAGAACTTCTCTGAAAGGCAATTTGATAATACATAGAAAGTGATATTAAAACATTTGTGATTTGGACCATTAATTCTATATTTGGAAATTTACCTCTAAAAATGATCATTCGCCAAAGAATCTATATACATGTATTCATCAAAGAATTACTTTTAAGAGCAAACATGAGAAAAAAATTTTTAGAAATAAAAAATAAAAAAACAGAAAATAATTAGAAGGTTGTAGATTGGTATGTTAACACTGGTATCTTTGGATCGTAGAACACTGGGTAACTTTTTTTCTTATTTTTCTTCAGTGGATTTGTACTTTGTATGTACCAAATATTGTAATCCAAGATTTGGGGGATTGTTGTGTTTTGTTTTGAGCAAATAGCTAAAGAACACCAAAGTACTGCTTTATTAATACTTGTAAAAGCCCTCTGAGGTAGGTATTGTTAGAACATAACTTCACTGTACAGACAGATACTCAGAGAGGTTGAGTAGACTGCCTAAGGCCACACAGCCAACAGGTGGAAGAATCACTTCCTGTCATTGTCATCTTGAACAAGCCACATAATCAGAAACTCTATAAATGATGGTAGGAACAATCTCAGGCAAGGCCACGCTGCTTCAGTGATCTGAGGGCTGTGCAAACGCTTTGGAGCTCTGTGTTAGATTCAACCCAAATGAAAAGGAGATTGACATGCACTCATGCAGGGCAGTGGTGGCAGCTAAGCAAACTGGTCCATGTTTTGGTGCTTGTCCTCCTTACCCCACACCCAGGCCTCTGGGGGCTGAGGTGAACAGTGCCTCTCACCTTGGGTTTCTCCTGGAAAGAATGGCCTCTCACAAACTCTCACCAGAACTGGCAGCTCGTTCTGCAGTGTGCTAAATTTCTGGGGAAGAGAAAGACCCGCTGAGAAGCCACTTTAAAAGAAATCACTCTCAAAAGCCCAGCAGCTGGCCCCATCCTGGAGTTCTGACAATTGGGATTTGAATTGTAACATTTTTTAATCTGGGATTTGCGACAACAAACTGATTTGAAATCCTGCAACTCGGCATTTGTTGGTTGGGGTTCAGGTTATAGGTATGCCATGCTTTCTGAAAGTTTCTTTTATGCCTTTTTGCCTTTATAGAAGACCTATATTAGTCCCCTTTTCTTGCCAAGCAAAAGAAATCTAAAGAAAATTTTCACTTTCACGAAAAAAGCTGTTACCATACTAACGTAGGTCTTTGAGAAAAGCAATGTGGCCTAACTTGAGCTTTCGGAACACTCCGCTTTTGGATAGCCAGGGAAACCTGTAGTTCCCACCCCATCCCCTGTCACGTTTTGGCAATAAATTAGTGTTGAGAAACGACCATGAGAATGACAGTAACATAGAGCTGATGTGGAACACAGATCGGGCATAATAGTATTGGGATTCATGAATCTCACCAATATGTTGATAATGCGTTGAAGCTAGGGACAACACTACAGTTCTAGTGTCATTTTGTCACCTTGTCATCAAGCCTCTGATGTTCTAGTGTTCTTAGAAGTTCTCCCTAGGTTAACATTCTTCTTCAAGCTAAAATTTAGCACAGTCATTCCAAGCCTGGGCCACTTCTGTGGAATGCCTTTTATATGACGGAAGATGTGACAAGAATAAAAGAGATTTTGCTTAGAAAGTTAGCATTAAAAATGAAGATTTATCAAAATATTATTTCTCAAAATAATACTGTACAAACCACCCCAAGTCTCAATGTCTTCCAACAATCCACATTTCTTCTCACTCGCACATCTGTGGGTTGTCTAGAGTCAGCTGTCCTAACTTAGACTCTGTTGGTCTTGGATCCAAGCTAAAGATTGGGTCTAGGTCTGTTCCACGTGTCTCTCATTTTTCCTGGTTTTTCCTAGAATCTATCCAGAACATATTCTTTTCATGGTAGTGGCAGAAATGCAAGAGGGCAAGGCCCCCTACGCAAATACATTTGCTGCATCATGTCCACCATCAATGTATTGGTCAAAGCAAGTCACATGGCCATGCCCAAGATAATGGGGAAAGAGGTATATCTTCCCAAAGAGAGAGACAAAAGAAAGTAAATATTTGTAGTATTGATTTTGTCTAATTATAAATGTTAAATATTCAATGGAGAAAAATAAGCAAATATAGAAATTATTAAGAAATCATTAAAATTCTCCTTAATTCTACCACCCAGAGAGAACCATTTTAACACTTTGGAGTATCAGATTGATTTTTAAAAGTATTCTTTTAATATTATTCTTATTGGGGTAAAAAAAGAAGATTTAAAGTCAATATTAGAACCAATTTTGAGAGGTTAAAAAAAAAAAACATCCCCACCATCTTAAAT